CTCCCGAGGGCTGAGACTACAGTCACCACCGCCACCCTGGCTAATTTTGTATTTTAGTAGAGATGGGGTTTTGCCATATTGCCAGGGTGTCTCGAACCTCCTGACCTCACGTGATCTGTCTGCCTCAGTCTCCAAAGTGCTGGGATTACAGGCGTGAGCCCCTGCGCTTAGCCTGGCTCTGGCTTTTACATGATGACTCAGCTTAATGCTCTGCATTTCTGACCTCTCAGAATACAAAGAAATTCTCTGCCCAAGAACTGGTTATATACTGTTTCTAGAAGGGTGCGCGCTCCCCCTGCCTCGTGGCACACACTGGCCACAGATGAAAGTGCCTGGTGGTGCTGTGTTCTCATCCCCAGTATACAATGTGCTTATCTGGTGCTTTATTTCTATTCACTGCTGACATACCACATGGGTAAGGAACAAAAACCCCACGAACCCAACCTCGCAAACTGAAGAAAGGCAGCCCAGCAGTGTTAGGCACTACGACACAGCTCCCTGCCTGTCCCCAAAGGGTGACAAAAGGAGACACAGCCACTTCTCCGGCTCCTGTGTTTTGGGGCCTATCTCCTGAGGAGTTCTAACCACTCTCCAGGCCTGATGAACTTGACCAAGATCACAGCAAATCTGGGGAACAGGGAAGGCACCTGCATCACCTTCATTTGAGGGAGGGAGGGAGGAAAGGGCAGAACCAGCCATGGTTGTCACTGGCACAACCCACGTCTCTGATTCTGGGAGTTGGGGGATGTTCTTTATTCCAGCTGTGCCATCTACCATCCTGGCCCACACGGCCGGTACAAGAAGGTGGTGTTACAACTTATTGACTCTGGGATCAGTTCTCATGGCTAAAAGGTGGAAGGTTAGACATCTTATTTTAAAAACCACCTTTGTGACAGACTCGTCTTTAAACACTTAGCCTCAGGAACATTTCTATTTTATTAGCTCAGCTACAGGCATGCAGATCTCGTGAGGAGATCTACCACCTATACCAGCTTCTTTCAAACACTGGCACTGGGGGAAAGGGACAGGAATGACAGGAATGGAGGATGTCAGATTTCTGAATAACTTTCCACTCCTGGCTTTAGCCTCTTCCTGGAACAGTGACTTTCCTCTCAAATGAGAACTGCACAGCTCTCTCATCTCTGCTGTGACCTCTCACAGTTCCTTCTGTTTGGTCTGTGGCAAGGATTCAAGGCCCCACCCTCACCGAGAGTGTCTATCACCACCAGCTGTAGCCACTGGCGGCATCCCACGCACCCTGGGGAAGCACTGACTTGGGAGGAAATTGGGCTCACCCAAAACAATCACTTACACAACGAGATGTGTGGGGTCTCACAGGATTTCACTGCGTAAGTCATCAAACACTTCTCAAAACCATCCTGGGAAGATTCCCGTGGAATATTAGTTTATACAAAAGGGAGAAAAGGAACTAAGTATAGAAGAGAAAGAGCAACCAAACAGTGAAAGCCAATGCAGCCTTGTCCTTTCAAGTATGTTTATCTTTGTGTTTTACAGAGATGCCTCTTAACTTGCACTTGAAGGTCAAGGGTTCTAGCTGATCTCAGTAGTGCAAAAGGAAGAAAAGAATAGGAACTGCCATGATTTTTTTTTTTTGGAAAAGGAGTTTTGTTTTTGTTGCCCAGGCTGGAGTGCAGTGGTACGATCTCGGCTCACGGCAACCTCTGCCTCCTGGGTTCAAGTGATTCGCCTGCCTCAGCCTCCCCAGTAGTTGGGATTACAGGAATGTGCCACCACGCCCAGCTCATTTTGTATTTTTAGTAGAGATGAGGTTTCACCATGTTGGTCAGGCTGGTCTTGAACTCCTGACCTCAGGTGATCCACCCGCCTTGGCCTTCCAGAGTACGTGAGCCACCAGGCCCAGCTTTTTTTTTTTTTTTTGAGATGGAGTTTTGCTCTTTTTGCCTAGGCTGGAGTGTAATGGCACAATCTTGGCTCACTGTAACCTCTGCCTCCTGGGTTCAAGTGATTCTCCTGCCTCAGCCTCCCCAGTAGCTGGGATTACAGGTGCCCACCACCATGCCTGGCTAATTTTGTATTTTTAGTACAGATAGGGTTTTACCATGTTGGCCAGGCTGGTCTCAAACTCCTGACCTCAGGTGATGCGCCCGCCTCGGCCTCCCAAAGTGCTGGGATTACAGATGTGGATCCACTAAGCCTGGCGCTGCCATGACTTTTAAATGGTTTCAGTTTCTTAATGGGAAGCTCTGGAGAAACCTAGGAAGCTTAAGGTTCTGTCCAGTATTTTGAAATCTGACCTTCTTGTGCCTTCAATAATTGTACGTAGACACTGCTTGAAAATGTCTTCAAACGGACTTGTCAGTAGACAGTTCTGCAAGAAAGGAAAGGAGATAAATTTAGACAGCAGATGTTTGGTGTTTACTCACTTAACATTGTTAGGTGACCCATAGATGTCAGCTGTTGGGCTGGGAGCTGAAGGAGACGCAAAGATGAGAAAGATGGGGTATTTTTCTTAAGGAGCTAAGTCTAGTTGAAGGCAGGAGGGGAGATGTGGGAATTAACTCTCTTGAATGCAGTGTGGGAGAGACTACAAGGAAGAAAGAGTGCTTTGAAATATTTTCCGTGGAAGGTAAAGTATTGTGAGACAAAGGATCAGAGGTCCCAGACCTCAGCCATGGAGATGTCCTAGGAAGGACCATTTGTGTTTTATGCAAAGGACAGCAAAATGAGTTATAAGCTCGGGGTATTGGCCAGGATAGGTTCTTTCACAGGGCAGCCTGTGACTGCCAGACACCTGCATTTGTAAAGCACCAGGCATCACAAACAAAGGAACATTAGGACTGATATATTTACATGTCCCTCCCCCAGCTTCCAGACAGCCTTGTATTCTGGTGAAAGGAAGCTCTCGGATTCCAGATCTTTATTAATAAAGTGCCCTGCTAAAATGATTTCTGATTAGCCACAGGAATTAATGTGTTTGTTATAGATGTGCGATAAAGTGGGATAAACATTAAAAAATGAAAAGAAAAGCGAGAGCCTGACTGAACGCAAGTACCCAGGACCCCTTCCCACCCCAGCCCACTCACCTCCACCTGCTCATGCTTAGCATCCAGGAAAGGGCCAAACTGCGAGGGGAGAAACAAAGACACCAAAAGAACAAATCAGAATCACCTGTGTCTGTGAACGACTTCAGATCACCTCTTCTGGAAGTCCTCTGCCGAGGGCCCATCTGTCCCTCCAAGGCTGCCTGGAGAGCCTGGGGACAGCTAGCAGATGGGCTGGCGGGGGCGCCAAGCCAATTTCACAGGCAGAAGCACGTGTGCCCCGGATGGAGGGAGGCTCCCAGGGCCCCATAACCATTACTAATGCCCACTATAACACTGGGCTTACGCCTGTAATCCTAGCACTTTGGGAGGCCGAGGTGGGCAGATTGCCTGAGCCCAGGAGTTCAAGGCCAGTCTGGGCAATATGGTGAAACCCTCTCTTTACAAAAAAATACAAAAATTAGTTGGGCATGGTGGCGTGTGCCTGTAGTCCAAGCTATTCGGAAGGGAGGATGGGGAGGATCACTTGAGCCCAGGAGGTGGAGGCTGCAGTGAGCCAAGATCGCGCCACACACACTCCAGCCTAGGTGAGAAGGGAGACTCTGTCTCAAAAAATAAAATAAAAAAAAAGCTAACACGGGGCTTTTTTCTGATCTATTCTAAACCTAGAAATGGAAATGATCACATACAATATACGATTTGAGCTTAAAAAGAGATTAGTTCAGAAGTTTGAGAATGAAAAGAGGTAAGAATAGCTGTACAACAACAAGGGCGGAAACAAAAAAGTGACCTTTATTATTATCATTATTTATGTTTTTTTTTTTGAACGAGTCCCGCTCTGCCATGCTAGAGGTGCATGGCGCGATCTCGGCCTCCACTCGCAAGCCCGCCCCCTCGGGTTCACGCCATTCTCCTGCTCAGCCTCCCGAGTACTGGACTACAGGCGCCCACAACCGCGCCGGGCTAATTTTGTATTTACTTAAGAGACGGGGTTCACCTGGTCTCGATCTCCTGACCTTGTGATCCGCGCCGCCTCGGCCTCAAAGTGCTGGATACAGCGGGCCACCCGCGCCCGGCCGACCTCTTATTTTTGAAGATGGAGTCTCACTCGTTTGCCCAGGCGGAGGGGCAATGCGGCATACTCAGCTCACTGCCAACCTCTGCCGCAGACAAGCAATTCTCCTGCCTCAGCCTCACAAGTAGCTGGATACAGGCCGCCTGTTCACCACACCCAGCTAATTTTTTTTGTATTTTAGTAGAGACGGTTGGTTTCACCATGTTGGCCAGGCGGCATAGAACTCCTGCTCTCAAAGTGATCACACAACCTCGCCTCCCAACAGTTAGATTACAGCGCGAGCCACTGGCCCAGCCAACAGTTGGCCTTTAAAACTAGTCAAAAGGCCCATAGAGCATGTATACCTCCAAAGACGTAGATTAGAATGAAAAGATAAGCCGCGCGGGTGGCTCACGCCTGAATGCCCAGCACTTCTTGCGGGGCAGGCGGGGCGACACAAGTCAGGCGATCAGATCCTAGGAAACGCTTATAAATACAAAAAATTAGCCAGCGCCGGTGGCGTGCGCTCTGTATCCCCCATGCACTCAGGAGGCTGAGGCAGAGAACTGGCTGAACACCCGGGAGGTCAGAGCGCAGGCAGCCGGCTCGCGCCAACTGCACTCCAGCCTGGGGGACAGAGCGAGACTCCGTCTCAAAAAAAAAAAGAATGAAAAGATATTTTCCAAAAGGAAGGACTGACATGCTTCCTAAAAATTTAGAACTGCATTAAAGTCATTTTCCAAGGCTGACTCCTCAGCTTTCGCGCTGGTGCCTCTTACCAGGATGCAGACATCTGGCCGGTCATGGTTGATGACAGCAATCAGGTCGAGCAGGGGGTCATACGTGATGCTGTCAGACGTGGTGTATGGCCCACAGGCAACCAGGACCATGCTTTGCTCAAAGTCTAAGACAGAGGTTGTAGGTCTTGATTAGAAGAGGACTAGTATTAGAATGGTGGGAGGAGAAAGGACAATTAGGGGAAATGCCACAGGATTCAACTCAATGAGTCCTTTACGTGTGCAACTCTGGGGACCCAAGGTAAGGAAGACCTCACGTCCACCCTCTAAGAACACACCACTAGGTGGTAGAGACAGAGAGACAGGCAGGAACACAAATACCTAGAACACACACTAGAAACTTTACAAGCAGTGCACATGAAAGATTTGAGGAAAGTGGCAGTCAGTAAAGAATTTACCAAGGTGGAATTTGCTAACACGTTTGAGAATTTTGGGGAATCAAGGGCAAGGCAGGGTACAGGACAGCACTGAGACCTGAGTGTGCTCAGTGTTAGGAAACATCTGGTGGTCCAGTGTGGCTGGAGAATATGGGGTACTGAAAAGCCCAGAAAGACAGGCTGGGGAACGGGAGACTCCCGGGTGACGGGGTGCAGGGGCCACCCATCACGCTTTGTCCTTTTCCTAACAGCAGCTGCTTTCCTTTTGGAGAATCAGCCCTCCTCTCCACAAGGCAGTCTACATGGGCCTGTAAATCGGGTGCTCTGTCTTCCTCTAGCCAAGGGCAGGCACATGACCCAGTTTAGGCCATTCACACTCTCCTCCCAGGGTGTGCAATCTTGAGGTGAACAATCCAAGGAGAGAAAAAAGATTACAGCTAACCTATTCCAGCCGAGGTGCCCAGATGAGACAGCTGGGGAATTCCTGCTACCTGGATGCTAGAGTTCCTGGGCTCTCATCCTGGTTCCAAGCCTGGGTTTCTAGCCACTTGTCCAGTCTGTGAGCTACCTGGATCTCCCCTAATAAATTCCTGCTTTCTTGTTAGTCTGAGTCAGTTTCTGTGGCTCACAACAACAAAATCCAAAGATCCCAGGCTTCTTAACGTGCTGTTGTGTTAGTTTCCTATTGTTGCTATAAAAAGTTTTCACAAACTTAGTGCCTTAAGACAACATGAATTTGGCCGGGTGTGGCGGCTCAACACCTGTAATTTCAGCACTTTGAGAGGCTAAGGCGGGAGGATACCTTCAGCTCAGGAGGTTGAGACCAACCTGGGCAACATGGTGAAACCCTGTTTCCACAAAAAATACAAAAATTAGCTGGACAGGGTGGTGCGTAGCTCCTGAGCCTATAGTCCTAGCTACTTGGGAGGCCGAAGTGGGAGGATTGCTTGAGCCCGGGAGGTTGAGGCTGCAGTGAGCTGTGATCACAGCTCATGCCCACTGCCCTCCAGTGAGACTCTGTCTCAAAAAAAAGCCTACGAATTTATTATATTACAGTTCCAGAGGTCAAAAATCCTAAACTGAAGGTGTGGGCAGGGCTGAGTTCCTCCTGTCTGGAGGTTTTAGAGAAGAATCCATTTCCTTGCCTTTCCCAGCTTCCAGAGGCCACCTGCATTCTCTGGTTCATGGCCCCACCTTCAGCGGCAAAGCCAGAAGCCTAAGATTTCTCTATTTTGAAATAAAATTTTTCTTTTGGCTTCCTCAAATCACAGCAGCCTAACATTTCCAAGTTCTGACTCTGATTCTCTTGCCATTCCTCTTATAAGGATCCTTGTGATTACAGTGGGCCCACCTGGATAATCCAGGCTAATCCCCCATCTCAACAGCCTTAACTTAATCACACGGGCAAAGTCTCCTTTATGACAAAAGGTAAAATGTTCACAGGTTCCAGGGATTCCTGGGGCTATAATTGAGTGTATCATAGTAGTGATACCATGAACTGACAGAGCATTCGAGGGGAAGAGTAGGTTTCATGTGGTGGTGGGGTAGGGACAAAGTTAAGTTTGGCTCTGAGAAGCCTACAGGAGATGTGAGCCCCAGTGTAAGCAGTGAGTCTCTGGAGGGCGAGGGCCATTGCTATTCCGGATCTTCATGAGCCTCCATTTAATCCTATACAGAAGTACAGAACAACCCTCGTTAAACGTTTCCAAGCCCCTGGTACACAGCCAGCTCCTGGAGCGCACGCCAGGTTATTCATTACTGAATTTACCTAATACCACATGCGCCACCCTTGCCCTAAAATTGGATTTTTCTTTTTTTTTTGTTTTCCTTGAGACAGGTCCTCGCCTGCAACCCCCAGGCTCGAGTGCAGTGGGCCGATTTCCGCTCACCTCGCAAGCTCCGCCTCCCAGTTTCACGCCATCTCCTGCCTCACCCCCAAGTAGCCTGACTTACAGGCGCCCGCCACCACGCCCGCTAGTTTTTGTATTTTAGACAGACAGGGTTCCACCATGTTAGCCAGGATGGCCGATCTCCTGACCTCGGATCCACCCCGCCTCGGCCTCCCAAAAGCTGCTTGGATTACAGGCTTGAGCCACCGCGCCCGCCTCCTTTTTTCTTTTTTGAATAGGTCAACACTCTGACTCCTTACAGCCCGGAGTGCATGGTGTATGACATGCTCAAAGGCACCTGAACCTCCTGGACCAGGATGACCTCCCCCCTTTTTAGCCTTCCGAGTTGCCGGACTATAGGCACATGCCCACCATGCCCACCCAGCTGATTTTTTTACTTTTTTTTTCGGACAGAGTCTAGCTCTGTCGCCAGGCTGGAGTTCAGTGGCGATCTCCACTCACTGTAACCTCTACCTCCCAGGTTCAAGTGATTCTCCTGTCTCAGCCTCCTGAGTAGCTGGGATTATAGGCACACGCTGCCACGCCCAGCTAATTTTTGTATTTTTAGTAGAGATGGGGTTTCAGCTTGTTGGCCAGAATGGTCTCTGTCTCCTGACCTTGTCATCCGCCCACGTCGGCCTCCCAAAGTGGTGAGATTACAGGCGTGAACCACCGCGCCCGGCCTAATTTTTTGTACTTTTTGTAGACACGAGGTTCTACCATGTTTCCCAGGCTGGTCTCAAACTCCTGTGGTCAAGCAATCCTCCTGCCCCAGCGTAAGCCACCACGCCTGGCCAAACTTGTATTTTCTGATAAAATGTGCAATATAACAGAGTCCTAAACTTCACTTCTGATTCTAGGTCATCTCCAAGAATGGCTCTGGCCACTGTTACATGCATGGGGTGTTGACAACACGCTAGTGTCAGTGATCTGGTTGCTAATCCTGAACAGTGCTCCACTGTGCTTACAAACATGCCTTGAGAGTTGGGTGTGGTAACTCATGCCTGTAATCCCAGCACTTTGGGAGGCCAAGGCGGGCACATCACCTGAGTTTGGGAGTTTGAGACCAGCCTGACCAACATGGAGAAACCCTATCTCTACTAAAAATGCAAAATTAGCCAGGCGTGGTGGCACATACCTGTAATCCCAGCTACTTGGGAGGCTAAGGCAGGAGAATCGCTTGAACCCAGGAAGCAGAGCTTGCAGTGAGCCGAGATCTTGCCACTGCACTCCAGCCTGGGGGACAGAGCGAGACTCCATTTCAAAAAAAAAAAAAAAAAGAAAAAAAGAAAAAAAAGAAATTATTTTTAAGTTTTCACTTTAGAACAAATTTAGAATTGTAGAAAAGTTACAAAGATAGTACAGAGTTCCTGTGTGTCTTTCACCAGAGGGCCCCCAATCTTAACATGTTAGGTAACCATGAACATTTGTCAAAATTAAGGCATTAATGCTGGTATATCACTGTTAACCAAATTCCTGGATTTTCGAGGTTGAGTGTTAGAGCCAGAAAAATAAAAAAGTAAATTCCTGGCTTTACTCAGACGTTGCTAGTTGTTCCACTGATGTTCCCTTTCTCTTCAAGGATTCAATCCAGGATGCCACATTACATTTTCAAAAAATTAATTAATTTTAATTTTTTTTTAAGAGCCAGTCTTGTTCTGTCACCCAGGCTGGAGTGCAGTGGTGTTACCATAGCTCACTGCAACCTTGAACTCCTGGGCTTAGGCAATTCTCCTGTTTCAGCCTCTGATTAGCTAGGACTACAGGCACGCACCACCAGCCCAGCTAAATTTTATAATTTTTAGTAGAGACAGGGTCTCCGTATATTGCCCAGGCTAGTCTCCAACTCCTGGCCTCAGGTGATCCTCCCACCTTGGCCCCCCAAAGTGTTGAGAATACAGGTGTGAGCCACTGCATCTGGACCACACTGCATGTAAAGAAATTCTTCTTGAAATTGTACATCTTTTTCCTTTCCAAGGCAACCTTCAAAAATACCTGTTAGACATTAGTCTTTAAACAACATGCTTCATGTAGGCAGAACTCAGGTGACAGCACGACCAACGCTCACTGGGCTTAGATCAGGGGTCTTGTGACAAAAAACCTACGAACTCACTGATGGTGGTACCCTCACCGCTTGGTCACATTGCTCTTCAGCAGCTTCTGCAGCTTTCTTGGGCTTGGGAAACTGCACTCCTGGACTCATGTCTACCACCCTCACTGTTTGCAAAAACAATATTTGAACTGAAACTCACCTCCATCCTCTTCAGTGGGCTGATAAAATGGAAGTGGCACACCCTAAAAACAGGTGAAAAGCTCAAGTAAGGTCTTGTGCCAGGCATCACCTTGGTAAGCAAAGGGGAGGGCACTGGGTTGGGGGGTGGTGCAGGTGTGATGGGAGGACAGTGGGGAGGAGCGAGGGCAGGGGAAGGATGTGCCTCTGTCTTGCTCCTTGGATCTGATGGGACCTGCCATTTTTCTTTTCTTTCTTTTCTTTTCTTTTTTTTTGAGATGGAGTCTCGCTCTGTCACCCAGGCTGGAGTGCAGTGGCGCCATTTCGGCTCACTGTAAGCTCTGCCTCCCAGGTTCATGCCACTCTCCTGCCTCAGCCTCCCGAGTAGCTGGGACTACAGGCACACACCGCCACGCCTGGCTAATTTTTTATATTTTTAGTAGAGACGGGGTTTCTTGTGTTAGCCAGGATGGTCTCGAATTCCTGACCTTGTGATCCGCCCGCCTTGGCCTCCCAAAGTGCTAGGATTACAGGCGTGAGTTACCGCGCCCGGCCAGGACCCGCCATTTTTCTATACTGCTCAGAGGGCGAAGAAACCCAGGTAATGGGAGGTCACTACTCAATTGTCATAAAACACCCAGCGACAAGTGGGAGCAAAACAGGTACCTAAAGTATCAGTGTACTTCTAGGCAAGAATGGGAGGGTGTCTTGCTACTTTTCCTGGCATTCTATGAAAATCTCTGGAGGATTGTTGCCTAGAGCAGGGATAGGTAAGCTTATGGCCTCTGGGCCAAATCTGGCTCTAGCCCACTATTTAAATAAAGTTTTATTGGAACACAGCCACAGTCATCTGTTTAAGAGTTCTCTGTGGCTGCTTTTGTAGACAAAGGCAGAGTTGAGTCATTGTGACAGAGACCATGTAGCTACAAAGTCTAAAAGAATTACTGTCTGGCCCTTTACAGAAAGAGTTTGCTGACCCCTGGCCCAGGGGTAGATTTCCACTTACAGATGGAGAACTGACTAACAAATAAATGGGCTCCTAAAAAGGACCAGTTTCTAGAACAGACAGCTTCCAGACACACTTTGCCTGAAGCAAACCAAGAGGCAAGTGGGGGTACGCTGTGTACCTCATAGAGTTTGGTGGCAACAAGTTTCCTACCAGTGGTGTTGATTCCTTCCATAATTACAACCTGAAAGACAAAAACAAACAGGATTGCTAAGCAGTGGAGATCAACGAGGTCTGGAATACATTATTTTGAGGCAGTTAAAAGCATTGTCCAACTACTTTTAATCTGTAATCATAAACTTAGGGCATTTTTGCAGAAAACAAATTAAGGGCATTGCATTAGTAATAATAATTATGCTCTACATACGTGACCTAATTCTCACAACAATCCTATGAGGTAAGAATTATTATTTCCATGTTGTGAGTGAAGACACTGTGGTTTAGATGGTTAAGTACCTTGCCCACAGGTATGCACCTCGTGGAGTGGGGAGTTAGGATTTGAGGCTGGGCAGTTGGGTCCCAAAGCCTCGGTCAGAGCATGGGGGAAATGGAAATCCCAACAGTGGTGTCTGCTCTGGGGCATGTGCTCCACCCACACCCCATGGCAGCAGAGACAGGAACTAAGGAGCAGCTGCACATGGCACAGCACGTACTCTTCAGGAGTAAAGAGTGCACCTGCATCCTGGTGGAACTCCTCCAATCTCACCTGTCCGGGAAACAGAGAATATTCCTTAAGCTCAGATAAATCCACTGGGATTTGAGCACCCGAGGAATGTTCCCGGTCTCCCTCGAGAATCACTGACTTGTTGTTCAGTTTCCCGTTGCTATCACAGCCAATCTGGCCCAGCAGAGTGACAGGCTCCTACCAAAGGAAGGTCACAGCATAAGAATGACAGTCTTTGGAGCAGGAGCTTAAAATCTGAAGTCAATAGGATGAATAGCAAAACAAACTGCAAACAACAAATACATTTTTTGGCAGGGCATTGCTTTGACCCTGAGGTGACTACAGCATCATCACTGACTCTCAGGATGGAAGAACTCTGAAAGGGCATCTTGTCCACCCACCAACCCAGCACTTGAGCCCTCCGAGGAGGCTGCCTAAGTGTGAGCATCTCTTTTTTTTTTTTTTTTTGAGACGGAGTCTCGCTCTGTCGCCCAGGCTGCAGTGCAGTGGCCGGATCTCAGCTCATTGCAAGCTCCGCCTCCCGGGTTCCGCCATTCTCCTGCCTCAGCCTCCCGAGTAGCTGGGACTACAGGCGCCGCCACCTCGCCCAGCTAGTTTTTTGTATTTTTTTTTTTAGTAGAGACGGGGTTTCACCGTGTTAGCCAGGATGGTCTCGATCTCCTGACCTCGTGATCCGCCCGTCTCGGCCTCCCAAAGTGCTGGGATTACAGGCGTGAGCCACCGCGCCTGGCCGTGTGAGCATCTCTAGTGTAGGGGAACTTGCCCCTGGATGCCCACCCCACCTGGTCCTCACCATCCCAGGGCAGCACACTGCATCTTTGGACAGCTATAACTACTTAATAATAGATAATATTTCTTGAGCTTACTAAATACCATGCACTATTCTAAAATGTATTCTTAGGCATTTTATATATATTAACTCATTTAATCCTTGCAACAACCATCAGGTGGATATTATTGTACCCATTTTACAGATGAGGAAAACAAGCAACAGAGAAGTTAGATAATTTAGTTAAGGTCAAACTGTGGGTGAAGCTTGGGTTTGAGACCAGAAATTTGGCTCTAGAGCCATATCCTTAGCCACATACTGTACAACCTCCTAACAGGAAGTTCTTTATTAATTGAGCTAAATCTCTGTCCCTATGGCTTCCTCTGTTCTGTTCCCACTCTTGGGAGAAAAGAGAGGAAGTCTCATCTTTCCCAGTGATTGTGCTTCCCTGCCTTCCCTCAATTATTTCCTTCCAAGTCCTCCAACACTTCCTTCTATGACACAGTTCTGCATCACTTCCCCAACTGGTCATTCTTTGAATGTAAACATTGACAAAGGTACTTTAAAGAAACTTCTAGAATATATTTCCTCTTAGATTAGAAAACATTCTAGAGAGAAAGTACTGGTATATACACCAGATTAAACTATGATATAAAGATAGTATTGGCAGCAGTTTGTCTATAACAAGAGACCAAACAAGGGGAGAGACTGTGAGTCATTGTCCAGAGAACAAGATTCTGAAAACCCCACCCTCGCTGCTGTCCTTTTATCTCGATATGTGAATGCTTCTACTTGTGGGAAATCCCCAGGGAGCTACCTGACTCACCACCAAGGGAAACAAGGCCTTCAGTCTCTGCTTATGTGCAAGACTCTAATCCAAGTGGGAAGAAAATCACTCTCTGGCCACAAAACCAGACAGCACTTACAAATCTTTCTTCAGAAGGGCCTATTTTCCCAAATTCAACCAAGATAGATGTTCAAACTAGAACACAGACAAGAAGTGAAAAAGGAAGCAAGAAGGATGCCTCTTGGTCATCGATTAAAAAATGTAATATTAATTAGTGAGAACTATTAGAACAACTCTTACCTGTGCTGGGGCTAGCAAAGGAGTGAAAGCTTCAATCTTATAATGTTCCTTGAGTTCGCTGCCGAGTTCTTCTATCTTACATGTCAGAACTGCAATCCCAGAAGTGGAAAAAAAAATATTATGTTAAGACATTTCATTTGCCAAGAAGAGAAAATACAGCACATTGTAAAATATTAAAGTCAGTCATTTTTTTATTTTTATTTTTTTAATTTTTTTTTTAATTTTTTTTTTTTTTGAGACGGAGTCTCGCTCTGTCACCCGGGCTGGAGTGCAGTGGCCTGATCTCAGCTCACTGCAAGC